TCAGCTCTGTCTTCACCGTGATGGTCCGATTCACCTCACGCTCCATTTTCCCATCGCTTGTGAACAAGACCTCGAGATACTTAAACTCCCTCACTTGAGGAAGCAACTCTGCATTGCTCCTCCTGAATCCAAGGTTCGGCAACCTCTTACCCATGTCCCCAACCTCCCCCAGGATGCAGGAGAAACTCTTCTGGAGGTGGGAGTTGAAAACGCCACGGACAGGGGCCTTCACCAGATGTTCCCAGTTCACCCACACTACGTGTTTGGGTTTACCAGGTCTGTCCAGCAGCCTTCCCCACCATTGGATCCAACTCACCACCAGGTGGTGATCAGTTGACAGCTCTGCTCCTCTCTTCACCCGAGTGTCCAAAACATACGGCCGCAGGTCTGATGATACGACTACAAAGTCGATCATCGACCTTTGGCCTTAGTTACTCTGGTACCAGGTACACTTATGAGCAACCTTTTGTTTGAACATGGTGTTTGTTTTGGCCAATCTGTGGCTAAAACAGAAGTCCAATAACAAAACACCGCTCGGGTTCAGATCAGGCAGGCCGTTCCTCCCAATCACTCCTTTCCAGGTTTCACCGTCATTGCCCACATGAGCATTGAAGTCCCCCAAGAGAACTATGGAGTCTCTGGGCGGTGTCCAGGAAGGGGCGCCGCCTGGAGACTCCATAGTTCCATAGAAGGCCGGGTACTCGAACTGCCGTTTGGTGCATAAGCACAAACGACAGTCAGAGTTTTCCCCTCTGCAGCACACAGTCGCAGAGAGGCGACCTTCTCAGGCTCCGTCCCCACCAGTGAGGTGACGTTCCACCTCCCATGAGCTAGTCTAGGCCACCAGGGGGCGGTACGCCAGGATGCCCACTCCTGCCTGCCACCCAGTGGGCATAGCACCTGACCCCGATCCTCTGCCCTGAGGGTGGTGGGCCCTCTGGGCAGTGCCCCCGTGGGGCCACAAGGCTCGACCACCAGACGCTCCCCGGCAAGCTCCCCCTCAGGCCTGGCTCCAGGAGGGTGCCCCGGTCTCCCTAATCCGGTCGAGGTGGCGGCTTTCCTTTTGTTAGCTGTCATCAGGGTTCTTTGAATCGCTCTTTGTCTGGTCCCTCCCCCAGAACCAGTTTGCCTTGGGAGACCCTACCAGGGGCTAATGCCCTGAACAACATAGCTCCCAGGATCACAGGGACACTCAAACCCCTCCACCGGGGGAAGGTGGCGATTCATCCAAGTGTGGCACCTTTTAATAAAAACTAACATGCATCCATGTAGATTTTCATGGAGATAAAGTACACTTTTTGAAAATAATAATAATATATATGACATAAATCCCTGTTTAAGACACTTAAAGAACAAAAAATGAACAAAATTGGAAAAGAAAGTATAAAGAAGGGGTGGTGGGATGTCAGCAGCATCTTGGGATCCTCCAGGAGGAAATGAAAACGTTTCTGGGCACAAAGATGTCGAAAGAAACTCCAAGAAACTCAGAAAATAGAAGGAAAAGTCCGACCTGTGTCTGAGATCCTCATTGGTTGTTTCTTCTCCGTCTCTCCAGATGAAACCGATGGACCGCCTCCTCCTCCACCTGCGGCAGAGCGACAGGTGAGAACAACACGACAGACAAACTGCTCCAACACTGAGTCTGACAACGCTGCCACCATCAGGCCATGCTGTGTATTGCAGCATGTTAATGTTATTTAAAGCTTTGGATGAAAACATCAAAAAACAAGAAGCTTTTTGACATTCTGACTCCAAAAACATTGAGAGAAATAACTTGAGGACTTTTTTATGCACAGTTAAAAGATTAAAAAAATAAATAAATTATTACAAATATTTTGACTATTTTTTAAAAACTATATTTACATCAGCAAAAAAAAAAGTATATTAAGGATGAAAAGTGGTTTTAGAAGAATCCGGCCCAAACTGTAACTACTGATAAACAATCTGTGTCTCTACAAACGGTAAGTTGTTCTTTTTCGATCATTTAGTGCATTGAAATCAGAGAAACGATCCTTATTTTCCAGACATCTGTTGTTTCCACCGTCTTGTCCTGCTGTGTTGATGTTCAGTAGAGCAGCAGGATGAACCTCCCTGATGAACTCTGTCTTGCAGCTGGTCCAGTCCCTCGGCGTGGCCATCTACCGGGCTCTGGACTGGGGCCTGGACGACAGCGAGGAGCGGGAACTGGGCCCCCAGCTGGAGCGGCTCATCGAGCGCATGGCCGGAGGCGACCAGAGCGACGGCGGCGCCGCCAACGGGGCGACGGATGAAGGCTACAGCGGCCAGGAGGAGGAGGAGGAGGAGGAGCAGGAGGAGGTGGTCCGGCCCGTGTGCTCCTTCCACCAGGTGATGGCGCTGTGTGCGTCCAGGCTGGCCGACCCCGGCCGGGCCCCGGACCACTACCAGGCCGTCTGCAGGGCGCTGTATGTGGAGACGCTGGAGCTGCAGACCTTCCTGACCAAGATCAGAGACGCCAAAGAGGTTCGGTCCAGTTACTCCAAACTTCAGAGCGTAAAAAGACATCGGTCACGTTCTGGCTCCATACAGCAAACAGGACCTGTTTGGCCACTTTCAGCATTTTGTTTTTTGCACTTTGACATTTGAGGCAGAAATCTTCTCCTTATTTCTCATCATGTCACTGATCCAGGATCTGTAATACTGGACAAGTGTGTAAACTACGATGCAGTCCTAAAGACAGCATGAGGTTCTTCTGCTGGATTACTGGTAGCAGCTGGACTGATTGAAGACGTTCCACCTCCATCCAGGAGCTTCATCAGCTCTGACTGACTGGTTGGGAGTTCCACAGACTGATATCCTGAAGGAGACGTTAACACCTGAGTTTGGGTTTCACAGACGTGTTGCTACACACTTGGGGAAGAACGGCCTTCGACTGGTGCCGGAGCACAAAAGAACTTCCAGAAAACTTGCAGACTACAGGAATCATCTACACTTCAACCTGAGATGCAGACAACACGACATGATCTCCAACAGCCTACGACTCGGGTCCACGGTGACGGGCAACAGAGCACAAAGAATCCTGCAGAACCAGCTGATCAATGAAAGCGTGAGACGGGTCCATTTCACCACTGGTGCACTTAGAGTGAAGAACAATAAAATGCGTGAGAGACTGTCAGCCCTTAGTGAAATGAAACCTAAACTCAGGTGTTAACGTCTCCTTCAGGATATCAGTCTGTGGAACTCCCAACCAGTCAGTCAGAGCTGATGAAGCCTCCTGGATGGAGGTGGAACGTCTTCAGTCAGTCCAGCTGCTACCAGTAATCAGCAGCAGCTAAACCAGATCCTGCAGCGTCACTGTTCAGACGTGAACGAACCGAGAGAGAAGCTGAACATTCAGGCAGTAAACGAGGAACCGAGAGGCTGGAGCTCCTCCTCTGATGTCAGGACGCGTCCACGTTAACGGTCCTGCTCAGCTTCCTGTCGAGGGGCTGCAGCTCTTTGCGCTCATCGATCTGCTCGTTAGGACGAAGCAGAGACGTGTTCACACCAACGCCTCCAGATGTGCTGTGAAGCTCCAGAACATCTGTTTGATGCTTCACAGAACCGCAGCGACCAATGAATGCTCTGATAACGTTAAATACACGTTTATCCTCGACCGTCTCCGTCACAGCATAAAACATCAACACTACAGATGGTAGCAGATTCTGTCTTCACATGTGAAACACCTTCAGAGAAAACCTTTTAACCAGTCGACTGTCTGTCAGCAGGTTTTATTCTCACTTGAGTCTGTTTGAACGACATCTGAGGAACTGTTTAAGATCAAACCTGTCATACTGGACAATGGATCAAATAATCTCTGAATGTGGGTTCAGACGTGAAAAGTTCCTCCTTAGAGCTCAAATCAACAAAACAGAAGGTAACCAGTGATGTTTCCTGAACCTCATGTAGCTGCAGGTCTCAGGAACAACCTTCACACTAGAACACTTTAATATGAAACACTGGGACACAGACATGGAAAATAAAATAGATTATACATTGTTCATAACTGATTAAGCAGCTTTGACAAGTTGTAACACAAACGGTCCATTTTCATGGTTCTGAATCATGATGAGGAGCTTTCAGGTTTTATCTTCAACAGTTCCTCAGATGTTCTTGAGACTCAGACAACCCGCTGAGAGATGGTTGGTTACGAAGCATCTGTGTCAGAGATCCTTTCATATTTAAACCTAAAGTTGTGTAAATATCTTGTCTCAGAATTCTGCTTAAAGCTGCTGCAGGATTCCTGACTGCTGCCCCCTGGTGGTGACTCGATAAAACCAGAATCTGTTGTTGAACGATCAGAAATACGCTCAAAGAGTTCCGTTTGTTGCTTTTTGTTGAACAGATGCTGAAGAAGATCTCGTCCGAGGAGACTCTGGAGGACAAGTCTTCTGCCGAGCTGGACGCTCTGAAGCACCGGGACTGGGTGAGCCGCCGCCACCGCCGCCGCTACAGAACCACCACCAGCAGGGGGCGCTCTGACTCCTGTTGTTGTCGTTCCAGGCCCGGCTGTGGGTGCAGCTGATGAAGGAGCTGCGGCAGGGCGTCAAGCTGAAGAAGGTGCAGGAGCAGAACTTCAACCCGCTGCCCACCGAGTTCAGCCTGACGCCCTTCGAGATGCTGATGCAGGACATCCGAGCCCGAAACTACCAGCTGCGCAAAGTCATGGTGAGAACCTGGAGACGCAGAGAACAGGTGATGGTCGGGGCGCCGCTGCAGCTCACCTGGTTCACCTGGTTCACCTGGTTCACCTGGCTGAGCTGGCCTCCCAGGTACAGGCTGTAGAGAAACGTCACAGCCGAGTCACAGAAAGCGTTTCTGACGGATCTTTAAATGAGACGTGTGGAATAAGTTCTGATGCACGTTTCTGTCACCTGGTAATTTAATTTAATTTAATTTAATTTAATTTAATTTAATATATAAACGTTATATGTAACCTGGTGGTGGTAATCTCGTGTAGGAAAGCCTGAAGCGTCTGCAGAGGTGAAGCTTTAACCTGTTTAGATGTCTGAAGATGCTGAAGACCTGGAAGCTCCGCCTCCTGCAGACGCTCCTCAGGTGAAGGCGTCAGGAGAACACCGTCAGCTCCAGGCATGATTCAGCCTCAGCACAAACACTGTCGGAGCTCCTCTCAGCCGTCTGTTGTCCACCTCCACCTCCTCCACCTCCTCCACCTCCGTCAGCACCAGCAGACTGCAGCGGCGCTCCTATAAATATGACTTTATGTGCGTGCTGGTGTCTGGTGTCGCTCAGGTGAGATGTTTCAGGTGTGATGCTGAGCTTGTGTCTGTGCTGTGCTCAGGTCGATGGAGACATCCCCACCAGAGTGAAGAGGAACGCCCACGAGCTGATCCTGGACTTCATCCGGTCCAGGCCTCCTCTGAAGCCGGTGAGCAGGATGTTTGTGTTGAGCTGCTGTAACCCGACCTGCTGGGTCTGTGGTGGCGGTCATGTTTCTAAGCTCTGTGACGGACCAGTAGGACGACACACAGCGTGATCCACATGAGCTGCTTCATCTGGAGCGCTTCTGCTTTAAACGAAGGTTCAGGCTGGTCCGGGGTCAGTGAACACGCCTCAAACCAGGATGCTTTACTACAAAATAAAAGCTTTTGAGCTGATATTTTTTCCTGTGTTGGTGAATTCCAGTTTTAACCAGTAAAATTAACAAAAAAGGGAAATATCTGTTTATTTATTTACCTGTTGACTATATTAAAATAAAAAACAGTAAATATTGTCCACACTGAGGCGTCTGCATTTTGGTATTTTGTTCTTTTTCTTATCGTTTTTTTCTTCTGTTTTTATATTAATTATTTAATATTAATTTTAATATTTTACATTATTTGCAATGAAAAATCTGAATATTGAAGATTGTTTTTAAAAAGTGCCATTTAT